GGGTGGCGATATTCGGCGTCAACAGAAAAAAAAAAGGCAAGATGTTCAAGGACTTTGTATGGATTCAAGTGGCCAAGAAACAGCTTGTGTCTCTTTCTGATTGATGATTGTTTTAAATACATTTTTCTTTAAATTAGTGATCGCCCCCGCGGGCTTCTCTAATTACTGATTCTTTTTATTTATTCTCCTTCCGTGAGATTCTCAAGTTTCATAATAAGAAACCTCTTTTCCAATGCGTCTATGTTCTATTTCTATCTATTATTTTGGTATTTGAAAACCCGCAACTTTGAAACAAAATTTTTGAGCATGTATTAATTATCAGCTTTTAAAAAAAAAAGTGTCCTTAAAAAGGACGTCAGCAGAAAATGGGTTTATATATCATTGCAAACATTAGTAAAACAAAACAAAACATTGAAAAGTTTTCACAAGTAACAACTTACCTTTTTCCAAATAAGCCTCGAGGAAGTGTGGCAGAATAACGCGACGGTCAAACGACAAGGGAGGTGACTCGAGAAGTGTTGTGACGCTGTGCTTTTGACGGGACTTTTCTGGTGGTGGTGGTGGTGGTTGATCTTTGTATGACGTCACAGGGTAGTTTGGATGTACACCGGTTTTGTTATGTTTTGTTTTTTCTGTAGAGAGGAAAAAGGAAAATAAGTAATAACATCAACAACAATAATGTTATAATATTGATAATGATAAGAAGAAGAATCAGTACAGTAAAAGAACTATAAAGAAAATGACAAAAGTATTTAATGGAAGTTACATTAATAACGATGATAATGGTAATGATAGTCGTGACACGGCTCTAAAAAGATTATAATAATTTTCAGAAATTGATTGAAGTAATTTTTGAAGGCTTTGTGCATCTTTTAATTAAATTTGATAAATACGTAAGCCTGAAAATGTACAATGTATTTCCTTTGTCAAGTGAAACGCAGTCACTCTTAAAGTACGAAGCAGAATAATATTATTTTATTATGTCCCTGATCTGCAAAAGCTTTAAAACTCATTTTTGGAGAGTCGAACACAAATTAGTAACCCTAAATATGCATTTAAAAAACGAATAAATAATGACTTGTGTTTCTTTATGTTGTTGTTTATGTTGTGTGTGTGTGTGTGTGTGTGTGTGTGTGTGTGTGTGTGTGTGTGTGTGT